CCAAGGCGTATCAGAACCTTGGTGCAGCACTATGAGGTTGCGATAAGACTTGGATGACCCAAATCGGATAGCATAATTACTTGGCCGAAATCTGACTCCAAAGCACTAATGAATAACGGGGTAGTTGCCGAAATAATAGCATTCTACTCTGGAAGAGAGCACCAGTGCTAATAATGTCACTTAATGAGAGCATATAGATGAGCTGGCACTTGAGTAATAAGACCGACCGTAGGTTATCTAAGTAGCATTAGGCAGGCTTTCCTTGACCCAGTCCAAGCCATCCACTAAACAGGACACGTCGTACCCCCGTAAGATGAAGGTGTAGATATAAGCGTCCTTCCCAACCTCACCTTGTGTGATGGCAACCTTATAAACAGAAAACGACGCTGTATTCCTTTTGACCAGCAGTAGATTGGCTTTACTAGGACATTCATGTTGACGCTGTTTTCGAGATAATCTCCTTCGATTCCGGTGAAAACGTACTGAGCTTTCGCCCATCGGAAGACGGGCCTCATCAGAGCAGGGTATCATCCTTACAACCATATAACGACTCGTTGGCTTGAATATGGTTATAAGGGTGAAACCCTGCTCTGATGATGTCCGTCATAAGACGGGCGAAAGCTTGGCATCTTTTCACCGGAATCGAAGGCGATTGCCTCGGAAACAGCGTCAACAAGATGTTCCAGTAAGGCCAATCGACAGGTGGTTAAGAGGAATCCGCTCTCCTGGTGGGATCGACCCTAGAATATCTTTACCAAATAAACTTTCACTCTAAAAGAAAGTAAGTCTAATAATCAGGAAACCATTGATTCCCCGAAGCCGAACTTTTCTTCGCATGCCTCAACGGTCGTTCAGAGGGAACCACCAATTTGCGTTATAGCGAGATATCGTTAATGCAGCTGAATAGCCAATGACCTTTTAGTAGGTTGCCTTCTCCCTTGAATTCCATACGTCTAACATTAAATTGTGGCTAGACAAAAAAAACATTTACACCTTAAATATAGCTGCGCTTGTTCTCAAATTCGGTATAACTATTGTGAAATATTTTTCGAATTAAGTATTGTTTTCGCGACTACCAGTAAATCAGCAATATGAGATATATTCACCCAATTTCGTTTAAGGTGATGAATGACTGTGACCCAAAAGGCGCTCGTGGCAGATTAGCCGAGTGGTTAGCGTGTCAAGCTCCCATCCTGCACTGTCGCGGTTCGACTCCCGCTGAAGGTGTTTATAAGACCGATATGAGGTCAAAACTGCAGTCCACCCTGGAATAGAGAACAACTTTTGGGAAAGCAAGGCTATGTGAAACTCAATGGAAACGTCATCTTAACTCATATCATTGTGAGAAAATTCTTCTTCTACCAGTCCTTCATCACCTTCAACGAAATTGGATGAATACATATCCTATTATTATGCAATAAAAATGAAGGTGTCGAAACTAGCAAAAAGCTTTGACCAGTAGTTAAGCTGAATCACTGTAAAGAAAATGGTAGTCTTGTTAACAAAAGTGAATCGGGCTTTAAACCAACACCTTAGACATATACTCCACAAATGCGTTCCCATCCGTAATGGACTCTATGACTCTTTTAGAAATCGTATTGCGCTAATACATAATCTTGTCTAAGACTTTCCTTGCATTTTATCAATTGGAGCTCGATCAGAGGCCTCATAATGGCAGACCTTAAGTCAGAGATGGTATGGAAATATTTCAAGAAAGTCCGTCAGCTCTATGGCCGTCTAGTGGCAGATTAGCAGGGCGACCAAGCAGCTTCCGAAGCCTATGATCTGCTACTCCGTTTTACCAGTCAAAATATTCAAATTTGGGGGCTTTTGCCTCATCCATGAATAAACAGAGAATATGTGCGAATCAGTCCTTTTTCGTACAAATACTAATGAGATACTGCGGTGAAATTCGATATCGTCGAAAGACCTTCTAGTTATTGTGGAAAATCCAACTATCAGTCCCTACACCATAATAGACGACATAAGAAAACTCATAATCTTATGCTCTTAGATTGTTTTAAATAAATATCGGTGCTTCTTAGAGCTTAGGACAAACCTTAGATTGACTTAGGAAGGATCACAAAAAGCAAAATTCGACTCTCTATAAACACTTTAACTCTGACTTGGCTCACAAATTTCGGATAGAATGCACCAAGGGCAAACCACAGGATAGAGAATTAATAGCCAGGAATTGCTTTGATTTTAGGAATTTAAAAATATGTTATTACTCCGCAAAATGGGCGGTTTAGAAAAGACTTTGGAAACAGCAATATAGCGTTTACTTTGGAAGCCCAAGTAATTCGCAAAATGGCTAAAAGCAAAAGTTTACAGAGGATAAATTGAAATAAATCATATCAAGGTCGCAACAAGATTAACGCTGTGCGGATGCACATATATAGGTATATTGATAAGGACAAGGCAACATTAAGCAAAGATAAAAAGTGAGAAAAAAGATGAACTCTCATCAAAATACTAGGAATAGAAAGTGAGAATCGACACAAGGAAAGGCACACAACAAATTAAACAAATTCGCCATTAAAATGTCCTCAAAAGATCAGTGATACTGTAAATTGGAAGAAATAAGAATAAAAGATGTTGAAAATGGACGAATTTGATACTAAGGAATGCTATCGAATAAGTGTGTCCACCAGACATGGAAGACAAATGTTGAATAAATATTGCTAGCTGCTACAAAAAAAATATTAGAATATATATATGTATATATATAAACATTTCGTCTGTAGTTGCCTTAAAATATAGTGAGATGCTTGGGGTCTGTACAAAGTTGTTAGCACTCCTGAGTTAGGCTGTGCTGCCCGAAGCCTACAGAAGAAAGCGACACAAAATCGCAGGTTTTATGAAGTTTCAAAGATTCGTGGTAGATGAAAGAGGCAAAAGATTCCAAGAGAGAAAATATTAGCTTATATAGAAATCAAATGTAACATGACAAGTCATGAAATGATTCAAATAAATAAAGTTATTAGAAACCAAAGCTGTAAATTTGGTAAACACAGAAAATAAAATGAGTGAATTAGTAAACGAGCAATTGAATAAAGTATGAGAGAAAATGGAAAGCATATACACGAATTAAGAGTGTAGTGTCACAGGACATCAGACAGTCGACCCAAAAACCAGATGATAAAGCGCATGCAAGTAATAATAGGCGGGGCAAGAAAGCAGTGACTAGATTCCGACAACTAAGTTGGGCAGACGAGAAAAGGTAACAAAATAGTATATCGGAAAAGCCGAAGATAGTGGGTGAAAAAAGTATAGACGGACGTCTGAATGAGAGGTTGGCGATGTGATCTGATAGGACTAAACAGATGACGGAAGGTGCACGACTTATGATACTGTGTAGAGGCCAAAGCAGCTGCCATGTGTTGAGGTGTGACTGGCACTAGAGGAGGATAAACTACTGCTAGTTGATTGATGACAAGATTCCTGGCGCCTACAGGATGCTTCTCCAAGCCAGAAGAGTCCAGAATCGTCTAGGTGTGAACCGATGGCACTCGGGTTACTCTGGCTACCGCTGCCAGTGGGATTAGTATTGCTGCTGCTAGTACTATTGGGAGAAGTGCGAGGCAATTCGGTTCCGGGGGAGCAAAGTCCCGAAAGTAAAGATTGCGAAGCATGGAAATGTGATCCTGTACGCGTTGAACTTTCTGTAAAGAGCCCAGAGGCCCGCTTGCAGAGAGAGAAGTCCACAGCGCCTCTGAGTGATGTAAGATTGGTCGAAGGCTGAAGCTGACCAATTACATCGGCGGCCACTTGCAACGGTCGACGTTTAAGTGAGCCCGAACAAGAATTTGTGCCTGTTGCAATGGCAGACCCGAGCCCCACCTGACAAGCAACGTTGTGCATCGAACTGGGATAGAGCGGATAATCAGTTAGATCTTCTTGACTTCGCGATAGGCGGCAGGCAGCCTCAGCCAAGGAGATAGGAAATAAAGGAGAGAAAGAGCCAGATCCGGAATCAGACTTCAAATTACAGGGCAGAAAGATTGGTGGCTTTGAAGGCCAACAAGAAGAAATAGAGGGTGAAGGGGCCGATTGCTGAAAGAGTTCCTCCTCGAGGACTGGTCCGTGACCTAGCTGAGACGTGGGAGACATCTCGCGCACCCAATCTACTTGAACATTGGTGCTAGCATCCTTACTTGGTAGATCAAAAAAAGAATTAGCCGTACTCACGACGACATTGGCAGCAAAGTCAAGGGTCGAAGGGGGAGTAGGAGACGGCTTAGTTGAGAGAAAGAGGGAGGTAGGCCTGACGCTAGGTCTAGAGATCGGGATGGATGGCAGGGCTTGAAAAGCAGAGGAAAGGGAAGTAGAAGATGAAGAAGAGGAAGAGGATTGGGAAATTAATTTTTTCTCGGATCGGAGGGGCCGAGGATCTATCGCTAGATCTTTTGCTATATTTTCGGATAGTGAGGAATATCGTGAGGTATTTGTTGATGCTAATGCCACCTTTGAAGTCTGATTTTGAGATGGACGCGCGATGATAGAAGAGTCAACTGTGGTAACAGAGCATCGCATCTTTGCGCCACGCAAAGAGGTTGTGAGTAAGCGAGCTGATCGACTGGAGGGCAATCGATGAGCATAAGTCTGGTTCCAAGGCAGACCCCTTGGGCCTAAGGCCCCAGATGGACTGCTAGTTGCTCCAGAGGTGGCTGAAGAGCAAGGCTCAAAGTGAAGCTTGTCCAGACTAGTAGCCGGGAAAGCGGAGAAGTTGACTGGGCAGATGTTGGCACAAACACTGTGTGAAGGAGACTCCGCTGAACTAACGGTGACATGATCAACGTTGGTGCTTATAGGCGACGAGGTTGTCTTTGTTGTCGCCAATAAAAGGTTACATGAGTCGGAATTGCTTAGGCCAACAAAAGGGAGAAGTTTTGAAGACGAAGCATCGGCTGGGAGACTTGTCTGTGTGGAGAAGCATGAACGACCAGCTGCATAAGCAGGAATGGAGAGAAGACGACGCCACTCGTCACTAGGAGAGGAGAGGTCAAGTTGTGATAATCGAGTGCATGGTGATGGCAATAAGCTAGTGGAGCTTGTTACAGCCACACCTGCTGGAAGCGATACTCGACACCGTTTCCCCTCAATGCTGGGACTATCAGGCCAGACGGTAGATATAAGACTGGTCTCGCATGCAGATTCTAAAGACCCCGAATGGCTTGGCAATATAATAGAACCTGAGTTAGAGGCAACAGTGTCACTCAATGGTACGGCCATTGGTGATTGAGCAGAGATTGGTAAGTGCTTCTCAAGGCCAGAAGAGAGAGCAGCAAATATACGGCCAGATGGTGAATCATACGAGTAGCAGGGTCCAGTATCTAAATTTAGGTAAGTAGGACGTTCGCGCTTTTTAGTACCTAGACCAACGTTAATATTACCGCCGACCAAAGAGTTGGCAGTTTGCGATGGAGGAGATCCGGAGCGAAAAACAGGCCCAAGGCATGAAGGACGCCGAACAAAAGATCCGCTGGTTTTGCCGTGTCCAGCTCCCGGTAGGTAGCTCCTTGGTGGAGGGGCAGGAGAAGATGTAGCAGACAAGGATAACACTGGAATTGGTCGATCAGATACGGAAGATTTTTGCTCTATGCTGAAAGGAATTTTGTTAAACCCAGAGCTAGTTACAGTGGGTGCATCAATTTTATGACCAGTCTCCTTTATAGGAACAGAGGTTGAAATAGAAATTGGCTCATTTGGGAAGATAGGAGAAGCATCACTAGAAGCTGAGGAACAGACAAGTCTATTTGCCGAGTATGTGAGGCCACCAAATATAGATCGCCGGCGTTGGCTAGTGGAAAAGGGAGTCAGGCAGCCAAATATCTGATGTTCAAGGTCAATAAGTTGGCCGAGAAAGTTGAAGTTAGGTGACACACTCGATCGGCCAGCTTTCACCATGCTGAATCAAAGGGACAAATGAAACGTTTGTAAGTGCAAGATAAAGCGTATGGGAAAATTATACCGGATACAAAGCTGCTCACTCAGAATCAGCTTTGATAAGATGACACATTCTGAATCTTATTAATTTCAGCATTAAAGCATCGCAAATAAAGCGTTAATGAAATAAAAGCGTTGAAAATGCAAAAGGTAACAAAATGTTACTGAAATGAGTTAAATGAAAGTAAAGTGGAATAGTAAGCAGAATATGTTAAACTAAAATTGCTAGAGTAGTAAATTTTAATCGTAAGGTAAGCAAAACAGGCTGATTAGATGGAATGACACAACAGGTTGCTTGATTCAAACCAGATTAATGAACTATATTCCTTAAGAATCCTTCGCAGAATATTCCTAAGCTGTCGAGTAAAAGTTAGGCTGTCAGAATCTGGTCAAGCTATGTAAAGTCGTATTAGTAATTTTATAATAAGCAAACTAGATTTAATTTCAAGTTTCTAAAAGTAAATGCCTTGAAAAATTATCGAGTGGGAAAATATTTTATAATATAAAACTCTAGAAACGCATAGCTCAATGAAATTAATGATAACTAAAGTTAATATAAAATCGTTAAAAGGCTTATAAGTAGCCTCCTCGCTAGTGAAACTAATCAATCGGACTAATAGTAAAGCCATATCATCATTATGTAATATGTAATAATGTATATGCCATAGAACAGTAGGCAGTATTTCCACAATTAGAGTTTGGAATGATTGTCATGTCCCTTCAAGCCATTCCAATGCTTAGTGTAGTAAGGCAAAACCTAAGTTAGCTCATTTATACCACTTTTATATGTTGGCTCGCGAAATGAAGTACAACTTCTTTGAAATATTTTCGATAATAATGTAGAATAGATTTAACCTGGGATATTTTCACTGTTCATGTCTCAGTGCCGTACATCAATTTGTCCAAGACAGCTAACTTATGTATGCCGACTTTCACTCACATAAGCAAATGCCCTCGAGACCAGACAAATGAGAAAAGCCTCCAAATGCATGTCCGACAGCAATGCTTTGTTCCATCAATTCTCACATGATATCACCGTAATAAGTGACTGCGATACTGCGAAAAATTAATCAATGTATTTCTACGGGGTCTCGATTTATACCAAACGAGCTAACTGTGGCAAAGTATTCGGGAATATTGCGCTGACTTTGGTTCTATCATAATAAAAATAAAAAACCAATATTGAATTATCAAGGTCCTCATGCTGAATTTGACTTGTGAAATTATCTGGCCAGTAGCCATACCTCCAGACTGTCGAGTGTCGCGAATGAATATAAGTCTTGTATTCCTTAAAATAAACCTCAATCAAGGATGAATATACAACAAATGGCCTCTAGAAATTCTTGCTTCCTAATAAGAGAAGACATCGAGAGGGTCGGTAATCAAGTAAGTGCCAATTGCTTTCAATCAAAGATTCGAACTTCTAGCAGCCTCAAGTAGAAGCCCATTAAATCGCTTGGCGAGCCAACAATGCAAGGCAAAGGAGATTGCATTTTGTAAGCTAGACTAAAACTTGTTCATGAAATTAAAGTCCACTTTGACATCAACGAATACAGTACTATTCAGATGGAAGAAAAAACGAGCGCGATGATGTTAAATTATCTTAATTATTAGACCATACTATCTCTTAGCAATGGGAAATCTAGATGGATAAAGTGGGGTTGATTCAGACCAACAATTCACTCCAAATGAACTCACTTGTCTTGACTAGTCTCATGTTAAATAAGGTATAAATACCAAGATGGTGTGGCCTAAAATGAGGTTTAACGTAAGGTTTTGTTTCACGTTTACATCACCTGAAAAATGTGCAGCAATAATCGAGCTTAGCATCTATGCTTGATTCGTGGCCCAAAATTACATAGGTTATTAGTTGTTTGTATTGAACGAATGCCAGAACGTTTTAATGAACTTCCATATTAGCAATTAATTTTATCATATCAAAGAGAAGAGATGACTGACATTATGGATCTTCAATACATTCACTTACTCATAGGCATCACGCATGGTCATTCGACAGGTGTACATGAGATAGGCGATTGCCAAGGTAGGAGAACGAGAGATGCCCGCAGAACAATGTATCAAAACACGACCTCTAGAAGCTCGAGCACGGTCTGAATGTAGAAAAGAACATAGTTAAAATATTTTCGAAATTTAAGATAAATTGACATATAATGAATCATTACGCCGAGACAAAGTATAAAGCAGAAAAATTGTATCATGGTAACAAAAAGAGGGAAAGTAAATACATGGTATTGTGTAATAAGAACGAATCAAAATCAAGTAAATTACAAAAAAGCATAGTAGTCATTTTCTAAGAGTAATACTTTTCATTCAGTAAATGTCTGCGTACTAGTTTCACAACCTCGTGGCGGACAAAGATAGTATAAAATACGAAACATGAGAAGTTTAAAGCAAACATTTAATCGAAAGATTCACCAAAAGAGCCTTGGAGCCTTGTCTAATTTTTAAATGCTTGAGCAGTTGTATTGGCATCTAAATTCAGAGCTAGAATAGAACAAGGAGCAGGTGGCGATAAAGCTGAGTCAAATTAATACAATTTTTTTACTCAGCACACCACACTACATTAAAAATAAGCACGGTAAAAATTGTGACAGGGAAGACATGATAGAAAGATTTAGGAAATGTGAATAGCCCAGGGTAGAAGGGGAGATACCACAACTGTTTAACACACTCGTGGTCAAAGGATGGGCTTCACTTGTCACTTTGACGAGTTATAATATGATGCTACGAATGGCGAGACTCACTGACGATGCCAACGAAACGTCTAAGAATGTACCACGTCCATGTTTTGACTTTGGAAATGATCATGCATACAATAAACTCCGGACTGGGTTCGTTCCTCTAAATCTTCGTACCAATATGACCAAGTTGCGAAAACAAGGTCAAACAACTCTTAAAACACAATATATTTGCGGAAAAGTAAAAAATAGTGAACAAAAAACTGTTATCAGACCACGTTTGGACCTAGCCCGAATACATATGCACATAAAGCAAATAATAATAAAGCTCAAACATGAATATGCACACTTCACTAAGACTAGGGTTAAAAGACAATTAATGACTTGATAAAGCCGGGCATGGGTTCAGCTTTATTACTTCATGTCCAGAGCTAAACTAGAAAAAGAGCATATCGTTGGCCAAATAGTGGTTTAAGGTAACGGTAAACAATTTTTTAATTCAAATGTATTTAGCTACTATTTAAATAAGTTGCTTTCATACTAGTCCTGTTATTTTTTTGATTGTATGAATATGTGTATTTGTGCATATTAGCGCCTATATGCAATACGATTCCTAAATCAGAGTTGTCAAAAGTTTTAATCTCAGGTCCTGATCCTCAAGACCGAATGACCCAAGAGAAAGCCTTGACTGAGACTACGTAGGTCCATAGACAAGTATAGGTGAGATAACGAGATATAAGCTTGTAAGTATGAAAATCAAGTTACGAAACCATATATCCTAATCTCTAAGTCTATGGTCATTAACGTTTAACCCTCCAAGGAAAGGCAAGATTAGGGTTGCGTAATCATACATGTCTGGTTGGGTTGATGAGATTACTCTCACATTTTTGAAGAATATGAGTGAAATTAGAATCATCACTGAGCAGGCAAATTGAGTCGCCTTCTTTTTGACGGCGGTTCAACACCTTCTCTCTCGTTCAGTCTATCAATCAAGCATAATTAGTTCCTACTAAACTTTCTATCACCGGTACTCACATTCAATGTATTTCCTAAGCTATTAATTTCAATAGCCTCTCTTATCTTTCGTTTAACCAAAGACGTGCCATAATCA